CTGTAACCGTCTGGGTGAGGAAGGGTGTCATCTGCATTCAGTGTCTCCCCTCAAGAGATGCTGCAGTTTCTTCTATTTGTGGGTTATCGCATTCAGCCATCTGGGTGGGCACACATAAAGGACTCCTTTTCGTGCTAGCCCATGCAGTGAGCAAACTCAGTCACTGGCTGCGCTCATAGGCAAGAAAAATAACATAATAATTATAGTATTGATGCTTTAGGATATCTTGCAGAAAGCAGAGGTTGGAGGGGTGACCGTAGAGATGAAAGTCATGCCATCTATCACTGCTGGGGAGCCCAGCAGTTCCTATGGGTTTCCTTGAACTTCACACGTCAGGTTTAGCTGAATCAGGCAAACTGAATCAGGACTACGGCTTTTCTGTGCTTATATTCACAACAAAACAGCTCTGGATTTACTTGGCTTTGCTGATTTCCTAAAACTGAGCGAAAGTCTGACTGGTAAACCATGAGCGTGAGCCTTCACAAGGCAGTCGAAGTAGCAGGGAGGAGCATTCACTTGTTTCTTTGTGATCAGTGGAGTTGTTCTCCTGATGTGTCTGACCCATAAGAAGCCCAGCGAAGGGCTCTACCACCCTTTGCTGATCCCGGCACACACCTGCAGGTCTCCCCCAGGCCACATAAACCCTGTTCCAAGTGGTACATCCACCAGGATGAGCACCCGGCTGTGCAGGGAATGCAGGAGCCAGAGCAGCTGCAACCTCACCTCCCCATCAGATCCGGTTATAACAACCACCTCTAACCTGCCTAACCCCCTGAAAATCAGTGCTCTTTGCTCTTGGCAACAGAGCCTATCCAGAGCTAGTGAGGAAACAGCAGGCCTGTAAGTGCCACGGATAAGGAATTGCAGCCACCCCTGGCATGAAGGTACTGTGATTATATCAAACTAAAATGAGTCACCTCATGCTGCTGGAGTTGTGTGCTCTTAGGAAACTTTCTCTTTGACATAATCTTTCCTTAAAAGTCAGATCTTTCCTCTGGGAAAAGGGAAGTCTTGGCTTAGGCTGACCTACCTCACTTGTTTTCTTGGCTGGAGAAAGACATTTTTCCTTGGCTGCACAAACACCCTGAGACTTTCACTCATAACCTGCCTGAGACTGTTTTTACAAACCGTTATTTAATTCATTCTAATCAGGCAGCACAAACCCTGGTTCCTGAAGTGATTTTATTCTCCCAGCCTGATAAAATGCCTGTCGTTTTATTCAGATACATCTTCCTCGCTGTAACAAATGATGCTGAATGTTTTACAGGTCCTGGGGAGATGCTCAAGTCTTGGCCACATCCTCCCGGCATCGTCTGACAGCAATTTATGTTACTGCAGAATCTGCCTTATTGAAACCATTTGTGGAATGGGAATTCATGCAGATTCGTGCATAGGAGATGACTCTTTGTTTAGTGATGATGTATGAACGATCTCATTTAACTTCCTTGAAGGCAGTGGGAATTTGTAGCAATGAGCTTAACCTCAAATCTTGAAGCAGAGAAATCTTGACTTGGTGATGTTCTGCTATTCCCTGGACAAGCATATAGAAAAAAAAACAATTTATTATGAATGACACAACCAAGACCACTGTAAGCTTTCAGTAGTAGAAAATTTGCCCACAGATTCACACACATTTGCATGTGGCCAGATGTGCTCTTTTCACCTTAATGCTTTCCCTGAGCTCATTGCTCATGTGGATATAGAATTATAGAATCATAGAACAGTTAGGGTTGGAAAGGTCCTTAAGATCGTTAAGTTCCAACCTCCCTGCCATGGGCAGGGACACCTCACACTAAACCATGTCACCCACGGCTCTGTCCAACCTGGCCCTGAATGCCACCAGGGATGGAGCATTCACAGGGCAACCTATTCCAGTGCCTCACCATCCTTACAGGAAAGAACTTCTTCCTTATATCCAACCTAAACTCCCCTGTTTAAGTTTTAACCCGTTACCCCTTGTCCTATCACTACACTCCCTAATGAAGAGTCCCTCCCCAGCATTCCTATAGGCCCCCTTCAGATACTGGAAGGCTGCTATGAGGTCTCCACGCAGCTTCTCTTCTCCAGGCTGAACAGCCCCAACTTTCTCAGCCTGTCTTCATATGGGAGGTGCTCCAGTCTCCTGATCATCCTTGTGGCCTCCTCTGGACTTGTTCCAACACATCCATGTCCTTTTTATGTTGAGGACACCAGAACTGCACACAATACTCCAGGTGAGGTCTCAGGAGAGCAGAGCAAAGGGGCAGGATCACCTCCTTCGACCTGCTGGTCACGCGCCTCTTGATGCAGCCCAGGATACAGTTGGCTTTCTGGGCTGCAAGCGCACACTGAAGCTGGCTCATGTTCATTTTCTCATCGACCAACACCCCCAAGTCCTTCTCCACAGGGCTGCTCTGAATCTCTTCTCTGCCCAGCCTGTAGCTGTGCCTGGCATTGCTCCAACCCAGGTGTAGGACCTTGCACTTGGCATGGTTAAACTTCATGAGGTCAGCATCAGCCCACCTCACAAGTGTGTCGAGGTCCCTCTGGATGGCATTCCTTCCCTCCAGCGTATCAATCGAACCACACAGCTTGGTGTCATCGGCAAACTTGCTGAGGGCGCACTCAATCCCACTGTCCATGTCACCAACAAAGATGTTGAACAAGACCAATTCCAACACTGATCCCTGAGGGACACCACTCATTACTGGCCTCCAGCCGGACATTAAGCCATTGACCACAGCTCTTTGTGTGCAGCCATCCAGCCAGTTCTTTATCCACCGAGTGGTCCATCCATCAAATTGATGTCTCTCCAATTTAGAGACAAGATATAGTTATATACATTATTAATCTTATCTCTTTTCTCTAGCTGTCAGTCTAACTGCCTGCCTGCTGAATGACCAAGATTTCAGACAGGCAGGAGCCAAATTTAACCAAGACATTTTAATAATACAAGGACATCTTATGCCAGCATTATTTACTCCACTTTGCGTAGCATAGCCATACAGCAACTTTTTATGGATGTAGCTATCACCAGAGGGAGTTGTTCCACCAAGAGTAAAGGACTGCAGCCCAACTGTAGCGTGTAGATAAGATGTAGTTAAAAAGAAAACGACGTTTATTTTCTCTTTTCCTTTTTGTAGCAATAGTTTTTAAAACATCATATATTATTAAACAGTAGCACTTAGAGTAACACAGAAATCTGTTTAGCAGTAAACTTTAAATTTCTAATTATTGCCTAATTATTAAATTTCTGATTATTGTTTCCTAAGGATTAGTGCCTGATTCCTATAATTACTTCACAAGCTGTTAAGAATGCTTTATACTAATAGTTGCAGCCATTAACCTGCTGAGAAATGCTTTGTTAAACATGGAATTCCTCAGAAAGTCAAAGCTGTTTCTTTCATTCTCCCCTTTTTTTTCTGAATGGGCCATTCAGAAGTGAACTCGGTAAGACATGAACTGTTCAGTGGCGGGAGCAAGGAGCCTCTTGTAGCTGAGTGGACTAAAGTCTCTCAGACTAAACAACTGCTGATTTCAGACATTTGGTGGGGATGATGGTGACCTGTAGGTACTGTCTTCACCTCAAGGTAACACTTGAGTCATTAGTGAGTCACTTTGCATAGCAGTAGACTGACCTGTGGACAGGAGTTGTTCACAGTTGTCCTTACTGAATGCAGAAGAGAAGACAGCCAGAGGGAAATGACCTGTTTAAAGAAAAACTGGGATAAATACTGCTTTAAATGGATGACTATAGCTCTGGGAGAGAGGAGAACCAACAGGATGATGCAATGCAAGTGACAGGGACCTAGAGGCATGCTTTCTGATGAGAAGGCCTTCTCAGAAGGCTGGTGGAGGCTGATGAAGCCTCTGTTCTCCAGCCCCATCCATGCCTGAAACAACTGTGCCATGGGGCCCCCCCAGATCCTGTCAGCCCCCAAAACGCTGCTCACGCCTATCATGTTATTGCAGGAGCAACCTATGGACCAAGCGGTGATGAAGTTTATACAAACTCAAAGCAACATAGAGTCATTGCATCTCCACAGAGATCCCCCCTATGACACTTGCCCCTCCGGGCTCCTTTGGGAGACGATGAACTCCATGCAAGCAAGGCAGCTTGCTCTGCTGGTCCCAGGATGACCTCCTTTCGCTGCAGCTGTGAGGGAGGTGACCTTCGCCAGTTTAACTCTTCATTCCCCTTCCCCATCCTCCTTTCTCTGCTTTCCTCCCATAACGGTAGTCCCTGCTTGGCTTTTCTTATCAACTAAATTCCCTGGCATGAACTGAACAGGTTTTGTTGCTAGAAAGCTTTCTACAGCAGTAGAGATATGGACAAAACTGTCCCAAAGCAGTTACTGCTAAAAACACTGTAACTCCCTTATGTCTAAAAAAATTAAACACATTCCATTAAATACACAGGTTTTATAACCCATACCTCACTTTTCTTCAGATTCCTACTATCATATTCTGGCAAGTGTGGAGATGGACTCCTTTAGCTACCACTTACATGCAGCTATTGATACTTAGATGTGGGTCCAAGTGCCACAGCTTTCAGGTATAAGGAAGAATTGGAAGGTTTTTTTGCATTTGGTCACAGGTTTTGTTACTCCTATGCAGACCCATTTTATAGCAGATATAAAAGAAATTCAGTGCATCCAGCCTTCTCTCTGCTCTGCCCAGGCTATGGAGTGGGGCTGAGGTCAGGGTAAACTGAAGGCAAGCAAGGCTTAGTGCTCTTATCTCAACTAGCTTTGTGGTTCCATTTCTTTCTTCATTCCAGGTGGAGGCTGGCACTTCTGGAGGAGAAATTCATGGAGGATTATAAAATATGTGGCTCCCACGTTTGGCTCACCAAGCCCTGGACATTACTGAAGGCTGTGAAAGTGTATGTGTATATATATATATACACATATACATATATATGTATATATATACATGTATATGTACATATAGACATATATGCACATATATATACAAATGTATGTGTCTGTACTCATGTGTATGTAACAGTTGCCCTATCCTCATACTTTGTCCCCTGCTTCTGCCTCTGTCCCAGGCAGGATGCTGGGATGCTTTCAGCCTGATTTCATAAGTCCATTCTTATCCTTCAGCCACTTGGGTGCCTGAATGTCCAGGCAGGTGTCTAATACCTCATATCCAGTCTCTCCATCTCTCCTATTGTCAGGCACAGCCTGACTCATGTCCCCTTCCTTCCATTTGGCCATGTCATTTCTAAATCACCTTCCTTCCCTATTCCCCACCCATGCGTATGGATTTCTTTTCCCCAATGGCCACGTCTTCCCCTTCTTCGAAATCATTTGCAGAAAGCTAACGTCAATTTGGTTTAATTAAAGCCCCTGTGCTTTTATCATGTCTTTAAATCACTTCCTTCAAGCAATCTTTGTATGAAATTATCACTTTGTCAAAGCACGATCCCAAAGCACAGCTCGGGGCACAGTGGGAAGCACACAAAGGGAAAGCCGGGAGGCTCGGTAAGTTTGGGTGAGCTGTTTGCTCAAAGCTGCCGAACCCACCCCTCAAAGACCTTTATTTCCCCCTGCGGCAGCTGTCATCTGATCCCACGCCCTGGCTCTGAATGGGGCTCTCTGAGGATGCCAGATGTTGGGAACAAAGGTCTAAAAATAATCTTCACAAATAACCTTCCCATCTATCACTGTAGGAGAGCGCGTGCTTTGTGCAGACATGCGAGCCGAGAACCTGAGCTAACTTGGACTAAAGAAGTTCAACAGCAGCTCCTGGCTTGTGGGCTCGGGTGTTTATTTTTCCCTTCCCCTTTCCCTTCCCAGAAGCTGCGCAGGGAAAAGCGGCTCTCAGCAGCGGTCAGCCCTCACTCTCCCTCCCTCCCTGTATCACTCCCTATCCTCACGAAGGCTCTGATCGCCTGGATCTCCAAAGCCAGGCTGCTTACTTGATCTCTCCTTGGGAAAATGGATTCCAGGCTGCTGTCAGAGATGCGTTTCTGTAAAAAGATCCTCACGGCAGCCTTATGTGTCTTAGTTTTGCTGCCAGACTCGGGCTGTGCAAGGAATCTCTGGAAGCGTGCTCTGCATCTGAAAATGACAGAGAAATACGACGTGAGTACACTGTGGTGGGGTGATTTTGGGGGAGCTGGGTGTGCTCACCGTGAAAAGGGAGTTTTCTTTCCATGTATTATTTTAGGATAAGAAGTATTTGCATCCGCGGGCTGTGTCTTTATAAAAGGATTACAATAAGTTTCCCAGGCTCTGCTAAACTTTTGCCACCTAGCTGCTGCAGTGGGAAATGTGTAAAGCATGCCTGGAACAGCGAGAAGACATTGGTACGTCAGCTGTCACTGCTGTTCCTGTGGACATCATGGGACAGCAAGTGAAGTGTGAATGGGGAAAAGGGGAATGAAAAACTTGCATGGCTGGGGATAGATTTAATAATAGAAGATACTGTGATTTATTGCTTAGAGCAGGGAGGAGGGGTTCCTGCGCCATTGCTCCTCTGCCTTCTGGGGTAATTTTGGGTAAATATCACCAACTTCTAGAGTTAATGGGTCCTAAAGGGATGGTGGCATTTCCTAGGGTTTTGTAAATCACTGCAGCAGACAGACCCCCAGATATACAGTGTCAGAGTAATGTTCTGGTCACCTTAATGGGTGTAAAGATTTGATCAGAGAAATCCAGTCTCCTGGAGTATTCTTTAGGAGGGGAGCTCCCCTCTGCTCCCCACATCCCTGCCTGCTTTTGGCAGACTGGTGGTGCTGAGCACAGCCACTGCTTCCTAACCTGCATCGGTTCTTAGAACAGGAAAGAGTTGCTGTGAGCAGAGAAAAGGATGGTGCTGTGTCTTGTTCTGGTGTGTTTGAACTAAAAGACTCAGAAATGGACATGAAGGAAATTGGAAAACGACAGAAAAGGAAAATAATTTCATAGCTTGACTTTCACACCTGCTGTTTAGAACTTTGACTTACTTCATTGAAGTCCCTTTAGAAGCCAGCACTGACCCAAGGCTTCTGCCCCTGGAGTCGCTTAGGTAGTAACCCTAGGAAGTCTGTCTTCTCATGCTCAGGTCTGATATCATCTCCCATCCGTTGCATATGGTGTTACATGGGATTCTTCCACCTGCTTTCTGCAGCCACTTAGAAAAGCTTTAATCTAAAATGGATGCCTTTTTTTGCCCATGCCATCTAGAGTGATGCTTGGGGACAGCTACATTGGGTTGGTGTGATTGCTTTCTCAGAAGTGTGACACAGGCCTTTTGCCTGTGCTGAATGAACTGATCTGCTTGTCTCCTTGAAATTTTGCAGAAGACATTATGCTAATATTGGAAGGCACCCCAATATTTGACAACAAGACGTTTTCTTCATTGTATCCCCCCCTTGGGACAAAGTATTCTCTGGTTTACATTTTAACTGGAAAATGGTGACATGAAAAGCTGTGTTTCCTACAAAATCGCTCACTGGAAAGTGTATTTATTACTATGTTGTTCTGTCACACTTCAATGCGAAGCTCAAATTCAGTAGTAGGTATGAAGTAAATGACCCAGAGAGATAGGACCGGGGCAGAACAGGAATTTACATGTTGATCTTCAGATAATACTCTCTGCAGAGGCACAGAGCCTGCTCCCCTGAGGATATATCCTCCTCTTTCAATGTGCAGTTCTTCAAAGGCTTGTTTTTTCTGGCAGCCATAAATCCAGGTGCTACTGATAGGGCAAGCTTAGCTAGAATTGCTCATATTGATAGAAGCATCTTGGGAAAATAGAACAAACTTTGCTTATTACTTCTTCTCAAAGCCTTGCAAGGAGGAAGACGTCTGCACTCCATCCGCTGCCAAAGTCTTTTCTAGCAGCCCCTCCTATTTCTCAGAAAGATGCTTTCTTTTCTACCAAATGCTGTGTTCCCTCCAGTTTGAAAATCAAAGGCTGTGGGTGGAACAACTGATTTGTGAGTCACTTGGATAGAGGGATAACAGATGGAGGTGCTTACGGTAATATGCAGCCATGCAGAAGATGCGCCATAGACATTACTGTGGGATCCCCAGAAGGACATGGGTAAGGTCCATCGAGAGAGGAGGTGGTCACGGGTGAGGATCTGACTGAGATTTATGTTGTATGAGTCCGAAACATCTGCGTCTACAGCAGGAGCAATGCATTCACCAAACTGCTGGCCACAGAATGATGAGCAAGTATTGATGAGGAGCTAGCTTGAGGTCTGGCCAGGAGATGTTAATTCAGGTGTATGAGAAAGGGTGTTGGCTGGCAAGGAGGGGTCAAGTGGGAAGACTGAAGGGAGAAAGAGGAGAGGGAATGCATTGAGAAGGAGAATCTGGCAGTCACAATCGGATGGAGGAGCTGGGCTTCCAGCTATTAGCAAATCCATGTATTTTACAGCCAGAGGGACACTTGTCTGGAGTAGTGATTTGCAGCTGGTGTTCTGCAGCTGCTGCATAGCCTGTGGATGGTTCCCAAAAGGCAGAAGGAGGGAATTACCTGAGCAAGGGCTTCAATTCATTATCAAGACACCTACATATTTGTTGGGAAAACCTGGGGCAGCCTTGATTCTAATTCAGGGTCAACTGCATCAAACGTTTGAGAAAAAAACAGCCTTCTTTTAAAGATTCCAGAAATTAAGAATTCCTCACATCTGCTGTAATGTTCTTCCAGCAATTTATTTACCCTCCAGCTCACTGTCATTAGCCAACACTGAGATATCCTCTTCATCCACCAGATTTTCATACCTCCCATGAGATTTCTGTCCCGCTTATGCCTCAGAGTAACATATGAGCAGCCTCACTTTTGAAACATGCATAAAGTTCTTGCACTGCATTCCCTGCTTTCCAGCCCTTTAATTGCCATTATGCATCTTCTTTGAGTGCACCCTAATTTTGGGACTATCTTCCAGTACTGCCTACACCAGAACCAGAACTACTAAGCCAGAGTTAATAGCAGAATATTATTCATATTGTTTTGGCCTTGTCCTATTTAATCCTCCTTCAGTTTGATATTTGCAACTTTGATCACTGATGATCTGTGGTTTTCCAGGTCTTTGACAGAAATATTGGAGGGATGAATATTAGTCCTGACTGTGTGTTGTTTCAGAGAAAAAGTGCTTTATGGCCAGTGTTTGGAAATACCTGCTGGGGCAGCACTGGCGACTGGAGGCTGGGGACAAACCTCACGTGATATTCAGGCCATGCAGAATATGACTTGGCAGAGAATTGTGCTTCGACACAAGTTCAGTTTCAGGCACAAATAATAGAACAGATTGGGGATTTTTTTGGTGGCAGACTGCAACCCACAGTTACTATAGAAAATATGGGTTGAGAGTGAGTGATTGCATTCAGTTTTTTTCTTGTATTCTTTCCCGACTTCCAGTGTTCCTGAACTGAACTCTCAACTTTCTGCCTTACTTTGTTTCTGGGTTTCTCTAGGACAGATACAGTCATTAAAATTATTTAATAAGTCTCATTGGGAAACACCAATTTGCCTCCAGAATTGAATTATAAAGAAAGAAATCTGGACACAGTCGCAGCCTATAAGATAATAATGCTGAGCTATGCCCAGAGCCAAACTATAAGTCCTTGGAGAGCTTTTAAAAAGACCTTGTAAACCATACCTGGAGACATCCATAACCAGGTTATTTTGGGAATGAGGGAATTCTGCTTCCCACTGGGATGGTTTATGCATCGATAAACCAGTGGCAATGTTTTTATTAGATCAAATGTGCATGGTCACGGGTTTTTTGACAGTGAGCTTTTGAAAGAAATAAGTTCAGAGCAAAAGGTGAATAGAGCAAATGAGCAGGGAAGTCATAAGGTACAGTTATTTGGCTAAAAATGTTAGATTGTTCCCAATGGAAATCTCATTACTGAGCCAACTGTTCATTGCAGTTTTGGCTTCTTGGCTTCTGAATCGTCTGTGAAGCAACTGCAGTAATTGCTTCGGGTTTGGGGTTTTTTTTCTATGTATTCACTCTTCACCTGTATTATTTTGGTCATATTTCAGCCTGCAGCTGACATTTCACATAACAGAAAATAAACTGTGACTTTCCACAGATGAACACTTCCTCCAGCAAGGAGACCTGTTAAATGTTTGAAAGTGCTTAGATTTACTGTTAAATACTGTCTTATATCCCCAAATTATACATGGTCCAAGCATTTTCTTTATTTAAAATCCAACAGCAAAACAAAAGTTGAACTTGCAACACCTTCAGTTCAAAAGCATGTTATTTCAAAGCTGGAGTGTTGTCAGCTTTTAAGGAATGGTATGATGGGATCGCTTACACCTTGTTTTACACTACAGCATTGAAACTATCATCACAATTAGGAAATTGTTTCCTTTCAAACCTATTTTGTGGTTCAAAAGCCTATCAGTTCATGGAAAAACAACCTCACAGAAGGGTTTTTCAGCAGTTTTTTGTTTGATTAATGGAAACAACTAAGGAAAAAGTGAATAAAATTGTTTCTTGATACTGGGAACAGGGCAGACAGCTGTCATTTGTAGAAATATTAGGAATTCTCTGTCTCAGACACAGAATTGTGTCACACACTCACACATTCTTCATCAGTTAGATCTGTAATCAGGGTATGGATTTTCTTTAACATACACCTTGTAGCAGAAGTTAAAGCTTCTGATCATCCTGTCTTTTCTTTATACTTCTTCACTGGCTGACAAGCACTGTGGAGCCAGGCAGTGGACAAACTTTCTGCTTCCCATTTCCCCCTCACTATGGCTCAAAGAACAGAGGTCAACTTTGTGTTAAAACCCACCGCCTTATCAATACAATTCTATGCTATGTAGAATATGGAAGCAAAATGCCTCACATCAGTACCACAACCAATGAGCACCGTTACTTCTTTTGGTGTCCCTTGGGATTGCCATCATTCTCTACATTACAAATTATCCCAAGGGAGTGAAGATGATACTGTTTTCTCCATTAAAGGGTGATTGATTGCTGCTTGGTCATGTGTAGCAGCAGAGGCCAGAGGTCAGTACCCAGGGAAAAGGACCTCTTGAGACCTCTCCTAGGACATTTTTCACACTGTTCATGTGTGGACACACTGTTTTGCATAGACACACATGTTCCACAGAAGCTGCTGGGAGGTTTCAACACCAAGGATGCAGCAGCATGTAAATAAAGAGGGGTATTAATAGCACCTCAAATGTCTCCATAGCCTGATGGTGAAATTTCATAGAGACCTCCTCAGGGACAGTTGCACCATGTAGTTTCTTGGAATAACAACCGCAGTTGTTTGTCACTGATTTCTCAACACAACAGTGATGGAGTCAAGTATACATAGGACTGTTAAACTCAACAGCCCGCTAGCGAATGCATGGCATAACTCACCTCATGACTTTGGCTAGACATTGTGTTAAAAGTGCAAATTCAGAATCTGTGGTTTTATTTGATTAAAGCATATTAATGTTTGGTAATAAATCTACAAACTGATTGCCCTATCTGAGTACGTTATGCTGGTCTGGGGAGCTGAGCCCAAGGCCAGAGATGAGTAGTTAGCCATAGGTGAGAAAGGAGTGGGCTTGGGTGATTCACCTCTATGTTGGAGGGAGTTGGCTTCTTGCTAAATGTGTGAATAATATTTGAATGCTGCCTTTTATAAACGTTTCTGGTAAAATCCTCTGCCTGTTAATCCACTTTAAATCTCCCTTGTCCTTTTGGTGTGCAATGAGCAGCTGGTCTCCTTTCTGCTGTAGTCAAACACAGCCTCATTTTCTTGGGGATTAAGCTGACCTCACCCACAGATAGTTCACCCGGATCATTGCATGTTTTAGCAATGGTCTCTGATTTAACAACCAAGCACCCTGCACTGGGCAAGCTTGAGTTACAGCTCCCCTGTATATTCTGACCCAAAAGAAGGTGATAAAGGCAGAAGGAGCCTATTGCGGAGACAGATGCTACCTGGGACATTAGTTCCACATTCCACCTGGGGATGTAACATCAAACCAATACAGTGTGAATGCTTCCACTGTGCTACTATATAAGCATTATGGCATGCTCATCATGAGGATGCAGGGAGTATTTCCCTCTGTTTCCCAAGCAAATATAAAAGACTTTAAAGGAACTTTTTTTTTACTTCCTTATTGCCATTACAATAACCTTAATTATAAAATCAGTTCCACACATTAATTTGGTGTTTGGGTTTCCAAAACAGAGTGCTAAGGTGATCATACAGCTCTTCAGGGTGCCATACTCAGGGAGCTGAACAGTTCACTCTTCCCCATGAATACTTGAAAACCGCTTTGAAAATCCTTTCTGTGTTTCAGCTGATGGGATATTTGGTACTCACCTCATGCCAAACCTTTGTTTCCTTTTCTTCTCTTTGCAAGGATTATGAGTACCCCCTTCATTCTCACAGTTCCCACTACCAGAAGAACGATCGGTGTCCCCCTCCACCCCAGACCTTGCCTGAGCGAGCCTGCGAGGTGCCAAGCTGCCGCTCGGACTCCGAGTGTGAGAGGCACAAGCGCTGCTGCTACAACGGGTGCATCTATGCCTGCCTGGAGTCTGTACAGCCACCGCCAGGTAGGGTGGCCCCAGTGACTAGAGACAGAAAGGAGCATGCGGAATAGTGGTGGTCATCACCATGCACGTTGGGTCTTGGGGGGGAGGCATAGTTTGAGTTGAGGATAAAGCTTCAGTGCCACACTTATATTTCCTGGGATGATTGCTCAATCAAAACAATTATGCAAAAATTTCCACCAGTGCGAATTGCAGATGACAGTTCTTTTCCTGGGATTATACATTCAGGAAGAGAAGGAATCTGAGTCTGAATTAGAAGTAAAGCAGCCGTCTCATCTGATCTGTGCCATGGGAATGGATGATGGGAAACAATAGCTGCTGTGGCTTTTATGACACCAGGTTCCTGTGGCCCTGAATGCTTCTCCTCTTCCATGGTTCTGTTACCATTGGGACAACAAGAGAATGAATAGAAGTATCTTGCTGAAAACTCAAATCCATCCTTCAGGAGCCTGTCAGCATCATCACTGACTGTTAGAGGAAATCTGTGACTTCTCCATTGCTGTGGCTACTCCACCTCAACTCTGTGGTTTCTTGTTTCTGCCTTTTACAGTCTTAGACTGGTTGGTTCAGCCCAAACCTCGCTGGCTGGGCGGAAATGGGTGGCTTTTGGATGGCCCAGAGGAAGTCTTACAAGGTACAGTATGTTCCACTGTCTTCTCTGAGATATTGGTATTTATACAAAGTCACTAAATAATACATTCATCATACACAGGATTTGAAGGGATATTGGGCTGCTCGCATTTTTTTGCAGTTTCCATAGGAATAACACTCTGTGGTGCTGGTGGCTGGTTTCTGGTGAAGTAAATCAGTTGTATCCATTCTTGAAATAAGTGGAAATATACCTTTTTCTAAGAAAAAAGCTTTGTCAGCGTACACATATTTTCTGCCTGCCCCCTAATAGACTGAGGGTGGACTTGGACTGGGATGGCATTTAATCCAGAGTAGCGCCTCACACGGATGCCTTGGGCTGGGGCTAGGGCTCTCGGGTCTGAAGGCTGCTTTGAGCAAGAGCCTGGGAAACTGCTGCAGAGTTGTGTCAAGCTGCCATCTTGCTGGGAGCATCTAAGTTTGAGGACTGATGATAAGATTGGGATAATTCCATAGGGAAAGGCCTTTTAGTTCTTTTTTTTTTCCATACCTCAAATTGAAACAAGGAGGGAGTTGGGAGGTGGGAAGAGAAGTTTGCTTCTACAAGACATTGCCAGATGCATGTGTGCATTCTTAGGGTTTTTAATTTCCTCATGGAAAGGCTGTTCCAGCTTTTGATCAGCTTTAGTCAGACACAAGTAATGCCAATAAATTACCCTCTTTGGTCTTATACAGATGGTATCAGACTTGCTGAACCTTGACTCTCACCTATTATGGAAACTCCTAGTTCTTCAAGAGAAAATTTTGCCTTCAGCTCACTGGAATTGCACTGCTAGAAATAAGATCAAATAGGTTCCTCCTCATCCATGTTGTCATGCTTATATTATTTGTTCTTATCTTAAACACCTTCATCTCAGCTTGGAGGAGTAATTATTGCAATAAGAACCATCAGTAATGGCATGAGAATTACAGCAGAAGTCCTTAGAATTAAAATCCTGGCAAATGAAAGGGTGGAGTGTCCCTGCATAGCCTGTACATCTAATGGACACAAATACTGCCTGTGAGTCCTGCTTTGCTTTCTTGTTCTGCTCTGCACTTGCTGCATATCCAGGGTCAAGGCGATTAAAGCCTCTGTTTGTAACAGGGAGGATGTCATGGTTTAATCCCAGCCACAACTCAGCCCCATAGAGCTGATCACTCACTCGCCCCAGTGAGACAGGGGAGAGAATTGGAAGAGTAAGAGTGAGATGATGTTGGTTGGGTTAAGACAAAGGCAGTTTAATGGGTAAAGCAAGAGATGCACACATAGGCAAAGAAAGGCACGGAATTAATTCACCTCTTCCAATCATCAGGCTCTTGTTCAGCAATGACCAGGAGAGAAGGGCTCCATCACACCTCGTGGTGACTTGGGAAGACAAACACCATCACTCTGAACATCCCCCTCTTCCTTCTTTATCCCCCAGCTTTCTATGCTGAGCATGATGCCATAGGGCATGGGATATCCCCTGCATCAGCTGGGGTAAGCTCTCCCAGATGTGCCTCCTCCAACTCCTTGTGCACCCATGGCCTGCTTGCTGATGGTGTGAGAAGCAGAAAAGACTCAGCAGTAACTAAAACATCCCTGTGCTATCAGGACTGCTCCCAGCACAAACCCAAAACACAGCCCCATGCCAGTTACTATGAAGAAAATTAACGCCATCACAGCCAAAATCAGCACAGGGTGGCACTGCCTTACCCCACAGTGAGTCACACCTGAGGTTTAAATTCATCAACAAGTTAATGGGTGTGGAGTGAAGAACAAAGCAGCAAACCATCAGCTTCCTGGTCATATTTCCCTGGTTTCTCACCCAGCCTGAAATACTGGAGGAACAGACCTATGGCTGTAGAAAGGAATAGCAGCATGGAGGGACTGTTAGTGCAAACATGGTGGGCATGGAGCATCTTCATCACTCTCCAGCACTTGCACACACCATGCACTACAGGCTATGGGGAGGGTGTCCTTGTATGTAATCAGATTGACCTGCACTCCCCATATCAATGTAGGCACCTCAGGTTTTATGTAAGGTATGAACTACAACACCAGCCATGCCAGGCTTCTTCGGAGGTGTTAGCTCCTTGGTACCCTTTCATGGGAAGTACTCAGAGATCCTGTCTGGGAAGAGATTCAGATGAAGGTGGCCATGCTGTCAGATTTGGGGTTACCTGTGGGTGTTAAAGACATGATTTGTGACCTGCAGGCTTCTTTTGCAGCTGAGGCCTGCAGTACCACTGAGGATGGAGATGAGCCTCTGCATTGCCCCACTGGCTATGAATGCCATATCATCAACCCTGGTAATGTGGCTGAAGGAATCCCTAACAGGGGACAGTGCATCAAGCTCCGAGGAAATCCAGGTCAGTTCTAGAAATATCCCTTCCTTTCTGTTTCTGTCATACAAACACCAGTAAGGGACAAGGGGCTTTCACTGCCCAGAAAACACAGGAAGCTCGTGAGGGCAGATGTACCACCAGATCTCCTCCAGAGCTAGCGTGTGCATAGTAAGATATGTATGTCTGTACTGGTCTACAAATGATGCTGGTGTAGAGACATCAGTCACTGAAACATCAAAACAGATCTCTGAACTGAATCCATAAAAGATTAAGATTTTTTGCAGGGCTTATTGATCACTTACGTTACTCTTTTATAGCTTACTTTTAACAGCATCCATATATTAATGTAATGCATAACTATGTGGCTCTTAGACATAAGGTGTTTTTAAGAGCTTAAATGATTGTTTAAACAGTAAACAGAAAAACTTAGCTGGATCTTGAATTATGTAAATCACTAATAGGTGGTCTGAAATTTTACCTAAATTTGCTTTCATTTGAGAAAATCTGTGATTCCTTGATTCATAGCTACTGAAAAGAACACAACATGCTCATGGCCAGCAGTTAACCACTCTCAGGGAAAGTGAATTGCATCCACATAGTTCAATAACCTGTTTTATAAGAGGCTTATAACAGCTTACACCACTTCAACTACACAGATTTTTTATTTTCCTGTTTGTGAGGTTGCTATTTCTATATCTATAATTTCTCTGTGCTGTACACAGAAAGCTGGAGTTTGACACAAAGAATGAAGGCTCACTGCATATGTTCTCATTACGTACCTTCTTTTTCAGATGGACGCAGCCTGAGGCATAAGTATTACAAAGAATACTTTGGTAAGCTGCTGGCATGAAGAGCTTGCTGTTATTAAGCTTTATAGTTATTGTATTGATTACAAGTAACTTGCTGCTTATGAAATGAAGGTTTGTACACAGGAAAAAGAGATTCTGTAGTGTGAAATCTCTACACTTTAGTCAAAAGATCTCATTTTAAGATCCACAGTGCCCTGCCTGCGGACTCTTGATAATCAGTATCTCCATGTGTTAAATGGTGCAGGGTTTTGCCAGGGGTTCCTGCCCAAGGGGTGAAAAACACCCAACCTGATACCCTTTTGTTATTTTTAAGTATATTTGAGCTTTGCTCCTGGGCCAGGAGCCCTTGTAGATGAACTCAGAACTCTGTCAAAGCAGGGTCTTTTGCCAAGAGCTTGTACTGTGGTATAAGAGATGACCAGAGCCGAGTAAATCAGCCCCTTGTTGTTGTCTATAACCACAGTGGTATTTGTGCTCTTGCACAAATAGATCAATATGTGACTCAAATAAAGCAGGAAGACCTTCCAGAATACGTCTTTCCTCATGGTTTCAAAGCTCATGTTTTCTGCTAACTCTTGGATATAGAGGGAGAAAGTCAGATCAGATTGGAAGCACTACTCAGATACAACTAGACAACATCTTTGATATGGTAAGATTTACAAACAGCCAAATTTGTCCAGTTTAGCTCATAAAGCTATGACAGGATTTCCTTTCCTCTGTCCAGTGGGCTATCACTGCTCTCCCAGAGAACTGTTAAATGATGAGACCAGTAAAATAGTACTGCTTAGGTAAACTTGAGAAAACCTTTTCCAGAGAACATCATGAAATCTAACCTTGCTCGTATTTGGTTTACAGGGAGCAGTTCCAACAATGTGGTCAGCTATGTGAAAAACCAGCAGAAGCATTTAGGCTAATCAAAGGTGTGCCAGGGTAAGTGTCCTGTGAATAAAGGGAAAGCTGGGTGAAAATAGTTGGTGGTTAGCATACAATTATTTAAAGAAGTGGTTGTTTGAAGGTGAAATTACATCTCTTCAAAATGCCACTATAAGGACAGCACCTTAAAACTACATACAGATGCATACCTTGAGCTCCATTAAACACCTATGCTGACAAACAGACCTTGCTGTAGAAGTATCTTGAGAGCCTGCAGCACTGGAGATTGAGCTGTCCAAAACATTCCATGGAGAAGCTAATGTCTTTCCCAAATCCTGCTTTCCCTCCTGTTTTTTATCCTAACTAACTTCACAAGATGCACCTGGTTCCTTTGAAGAACCTTGAGGGTGTTTAGAGGATGGAGTGATTTTCAGGATGCTGCAAAGCTTTGTCGACCTTAAGATTTTAACCTTTCTGTTTAGGGAGCTTCTTCTAATGTAGGTCTAACTGCTCCTGCAAGACAAATTAAAAAGCTCTTTATTTTGGCTGATTGCAATAAAGGTCAGTCTTAAAATACTTAGGCAGATGGGTGATTTTGTGGGATAACTTTACTTGTGTGAACAGTTGCTCTGAGCAGTGTGACCCACTCATGTGAGTAAGTGTACATGTATCCGGCCAGAGCGAAGCCAACTGAAAAACTCCAGTCATTTTATCAGGCTTTGAATTAGGTAAGAATGAAAATGTTTATTATACCAAAGGTTCTGTCCCACGGTAGTTTACTCAACACTTTAAAACTAACTTGAGCTCAACTGACAGCTATGGAAACAAAGCAGCTCAGTGTGTCTTTTGCGTACCTACGTCAGGCTGACTGTTAGGATTGCACAGCTACATAAGGACAAGTTCTGTGCAAACATCTCAGGAAGGATAAATATTTTAATTCCTCTTTTTGTTTTGTTTGATTTTTATCCAGCTGGACCGCTCTGTTAAGCAGCTGTCAAGGAATGCTTTACCCAACAGTTTTCTAGGTTTTGGAAGAACTCTGGTCCCAAATCTCCATGGCCACAACTCCAGCATTACCCCAATCCCTGCTCATCCATGATAAAAGGCTTCATTCTCCAAGGCGCACAATGAATCTAGATTTTAAACCTACCAGAAGGGGGAGAAATGTGATCCTCTGAAAGAAACCACACTGTTTATGAGCTGCCCTTCTACCAATGAAATGCAAATACTTCCAAGTGGATCCCTATAAACCACAGTGCCATTGACAGGCTGCTGGAACAAAACCTGCCCTTTACGTACGTGTTATGTGACTGATTCAGGTTTCATGACCACAAACATAACTCAGGATTATAAAACAAAGTGACGTCAGAATTGCACCTAAATACCATATCTCAATTGCATTATAATAGGCAAGACTGTAAGACTAAAGGGGATCTGGTGCCTGACTATCTTGAACGACTAAGCCTTTTCATAAGCTTAAAGTCTGAAGAAACCTGCAGGTTTCTTCTTTTCCACCCAGGGTTCACCAGGTTTGACACCCAATTCACAAGCCTAAAGCCAAAGTCTTAAGAATTTGAGGAACTCTGGGTTAAGAGCAAAATCAGTTTTATAAATGTATATTTAGTTACTTTCCTTAGCTTCTCAGTCTGGTGAGCTGCAGATCAAGAGCTAATGATGGAATAGATTTCTCCCTACAATGTCTAAGCAGACACACATATGTGCCAGCCTTTTTAAGTTTTCAGCCAGCACAGTTAATACTCACAAAGTGCACATCTGTTCTTCTGTACCCACGTAACCTCAGCAAAAAGGCAGAAGTCTGGATTATTTGATGCATATATTAAAAAGGCAAATTTAGGATAAGTTTGTGTAATTAAAAGGATTGTCTGGCAGATGGGCAGCTGCTCTTTAGAAGTCCTGTACCTTTATGTTGACTTCCATAAATCCTTAAGGTCATTTCTATTAGGCCTCACAGTTTCTTTTAGCATTATAAAGTGGAAAACACATCTTCTATGGATGTTTTCCTTTCCAGTGGCAGTCCCAAAGGGACACTTGCATTTAATTTCGACAAATCTGTAGGAATTGCTAGGCAAAAGAAGCCATGTTTGCTCCCTTGTTTAGTACATATCCCTGTCAGCATGCATAAAATTAGCATTTTAATATGTGGAGTAGTAGTGGTAGATATAAATACCCAATTCACAAATACAAGTGCCTGCTGCCATCCACAAACTAGGGGATTTTTTTTTCCACTCACCAAATGGCTTAAGCCAAAGCTAAACCGCCTATAAAACACTTGATGCTTCTTCTATGA